TGCCAAACGTCAGATAGTCACATAATTAAAGCATTATAGAAGCCTCTGTCAATCGCTGGCTAGAATATCAATTTAACAAACAGATCTCTATGGTAATATTCACCTAAAAAAACATATCGTTGTCTTTTCTCATGCACAAATCGTATTTTTATTCATTTATTATTTTAGGATGTAATTACGCAAACGTATTTCCAATTGTTGCTTCTATATCTGTCATTCCTTCTATTGCAGTTTTTGTTTTCATCTGTCCTTCATTCGTGTTCGCTCCCGTTTTACCGTCCACATAGCCAGAAACGACGGTGAGCTGCTATGTGGTATGAGATAATTCCATCTTTTGCAATTATGCTTGGTGCTGCTGCACTCATGGATCCTTTATGCAAGGGCTGCGCCTACCTTTTGTATGGAAGGGTAATAAAAACCATTAGACATCCATTTTTTAGTGGAGCGGCTTTAACTTTTTTCATGAACGCGGCGACTTTAATATCTTCTTAAGGGACCGCGATGTTGCTGGAACACACTATCGCATGCAGGGTCTCGAAACCATTGAGGATTGAATTACTCCCTCCTGGAATTAACTTGTGGTATTTGTCGTGTTTCGTAGGTTACTCTTTGTGCTTACCAAATGGAGTACTCCATGTAGCTTCGGCTTGCTGTACATACTTCTGCCTTCTGGGCTTTTTCTGCTAGTTATACTTTGTTATCACCCATCCCGAGTAAGTACGGAGTAATGACTCAAGGCATCAATCATAATATTTGAAGCAGTAGGTAGAGGACGAGAATACGTATGGGAGGAATACAAGCCAAATCTAGTTTGCAGATCTATTGGAGAAAGGTGAAAAGAGTAATCACGCATCATCATGAAGATGATGGGGCAAGGGTGCGCTTGGCGGTGGACGAGAAAGCACAAGGGTGTAGTCGAAAGCGGAGAACCGCGAGGGCATCTGACGCTCCAATCGTCTGGCCAAACCGGCTAAACCCATCCGTTTGAGTTGCTGAAACGGTAATGCGACAAAGTGCTTTATGTCAGTTCAATGTGGCGCAGACGGTGCTGCCAGGACGCTTACTTCAATCATCCAGGGAAAAGCGATGCTGGCGCAGTCCGTAATGACCTTCTCACGCGTAAGGTCTGGGTGCCTCATGCTCAAGGGACTTATGGGTGACGATCCTCCCCTTCCTGTGGGTGACCCTAGCTGTAAGAAGAGAATCGTAGTATTATTCACTTGTTCGGCTAGCGACGTTAGAGCCCACAGTAATGGGGTTACTGGATTTTCAATTCTGTCAGCAGTACTGGCAGCATGTCTATAGTCATTCAACCCTTAAATTGGTAGGGGTTCTCCTCTTGTCTTCGAATGCATTGCCATATCTTCGAGAATGATGACAACGGTGAGACTCACTTTTGAGAGAATTCCAAACGCCTGGATATAGTGTTCGGTTTTGGGCTTTCAATGGAAGGATGTGCATAGGGGTTACATGGGAAGAGTGTTATCCGTTAA